CGGGGAAGCCGCAGCCTACGCTACACAAAACCGGGGCCGGCGTCTTTCAGCGAAAGGAAAGCCTGCAGCCTGCCGTCCAAGCCAAGGGGCCTGCGCCGCGGCTCCCTGTACGGGCCCGCCATGGCCGCCCCCAGGTAGGGGACGAGCTGGCAGTGCTCCATGAACCGCGCCAGCTTCCTCCGGTACCTCTGCCGCGCCGGCTCCGAGCTCCTGGGGTTGTGCGCTGCAAGAGGTTAAACAGTGTCTTAGTGTCCCCGCCATGAACTTTCTGGATTACAGAAATTTTAAAAGGAATCGACGCTACACCTGGTGTTTTTATCCTTGGTACAGATCAAACCGCCATAGGCCGTCCCGCTTGACGGCAAACCAACAGAAAAAATCAAGTCTGGTATTTCAGAAGTTCTTAACCCTGACAGGGTAACAGCACTCTGAAAGATCAAGGCTTTTGATCGAGGCCCTGTGTGGGGCTGCTGCGTCCTTAGCACAGTTGTTCTATGACCTAAATGCTTTGCCCATAAGAAAACGTGAGCAGAATGATGCTTTACAGGGGGAAGGAAATGTCAAGGCCGAGAACTTTACAAAGAAGATAGTATTGTTTCTTTTACTTTCATATTTCTGTGCCCTAAGCTGTATTTTGCTGTACATTATTATTGAGTGCCAATCCTCAAATTATTCTTTATTATTTTAATTGTTATACTGAGGCAGAGGGGAAGGAGTGATTTAAGACAACCAGATCATAACCATTTTTTCCCTGTAGATGGTACTTTGTATCTTATTACAAAAACTGGACAGCATGCAGGACTATGCTATGAGACACTTCAGCCCACTAGCTTTAAATTGTAGACAACTGCATTTAACAGTGATTTTTCAAGCATAGCTGTACGTAGAGCTCTTACAGAAGCCAAGTTTGAAGGGCACTAAATCACTCCAGTGAGGCACGGTGTCCTACTCTTCCCCCCCCACCCCCCCAGGAGTAAATCTCTCTGCATTTGTGATTGATGACCTGTACCTTCTCTTCTTGGATTCTGCGAACAATCCAGTATTGTTGTTAGAAAAGCTGCAAGAGCAACTAAACCACTGTTTCTTGTCCCCTATTTAAATGTGACATTAGAGAGTGACATAAGTTGAAGATGAGAAAGTCTCACTTTAGATAGAGAGAGGATGTAAAAAGTTTCCAAGGGACCATGAAGCACTTTGATCAAGTGTTTGATCAAGGACAGCGTGACTACTATGAAGAGACACACAATAACAAGTAATGCTGTATTTGTCAAGGAGGTTTTTTTCAGTGTTCTGGAACGCTGTATCTTGGAAACAGTTCTACCCAGTATTAGAAGGAGATAACTTGTTTTCATGGGTTCCTGTGGTCAAACTGTTTGTCACTGCACGAGGAGAAGAGATTTGTGTCCCTGCATAACGTTTCCATTTCATCATCCAGTGCATATAATGATTTAATGATGCAATATATGAGCAAAGCATTCCTAGCATAGACATTGTTAAGTTATAAAGCTGTGCTAACAATAGAATGAAAACAGTCTTTGTGGATGAAACAAACTACAGTATAAAAGCAGCTTTGCTGGCTTAAGAACGCTACATTTATACAGGGGCTTATCGTGTGCCTACGCTGTTCAGTGGTCTTCCTTAACAAAGCTATGCTAGCAAAAAGCTGTGTCTTTCTAGTGCAAGAAAATTCTGGAGGGCTCTGGAAACTGCATGAGGAAACACAGGATGTGAAGAACTTTAGACAAATAGTAAAGATTGCCATTATCTAAAAGAATAAGTAAAAATTCGAAATAACAACAGGCAAGGTAAAAAGTTCACCCGCTGAACAGGCTGGCATATCAAAGGCAAAACTGGTGGGTTGAAGAAGTAGCAGTCTTGCTCCAGAAATCTCCAGCAGTACTGGAAACCAGACCAGCACTACAGCAGAGCTGCAAACTAGGCTGTTGAAATCCTGAAAGCTGGCACTATTTAGGCTGGTTGCAAACTATTAAAGATTACTAGATGCAACTGCTATCTTGGACTACAGACAACCCAAAGAAACAAAAATTCTAAAAAATAGCAGATACAAACACAGGAGACAAAGCTTGAGCAGCTTTTCTCAGTGAAGGAGTAGTCCTAACCCCTGGTAGCTCCATGAGATGTTTTACTTCATCATTATTTTGTGGGCTGAGTACAAACCACCTAATTTTAATTTTGGACTTGTTCATCTTTGTTATGGGAAAGTAAGGTGGTTGATTGGACTGTCAATTAAATGAAAAAAGTTAAGAATAACCAACATACCAATACTCTGAATCACATTAATTTTGAGATCTTCCTAGATAATTTTGCAAATAAGCAGACTGATAAAAAATATTTAATTTCTCTGTGCTAAAAACTTAAAAATCTAATTAAATCTGCATGGATATCTATTTTTTCAAACCGTTTAATTTAGTGTATTGGTATGGAGCCTGTGCAAAAGAAGAGCTTTTCTTGAAAATGACAGGTGTTCTGTATGCACTTAAGCTGATTTTCAGTACAGTTAGGCTGCTCATTTACATATTTAGCTGATGTGTTGTTGGAGATATGTATGATCAGAAAGTTGTCTTCAGGTTATCTGCAAGGCAAGGTGTGTTAGTAAGTTTTATTTGACCACCTGATACGGTTGAAAAAAGGCAAGCATTCAGGAACATAAACCATTCCTCAGTATTTCAGCAGCCTTTTATTTCAGTAATTTTAGTCAATTTTTAAGACAATTCAGGTTATCTATGACTAGTTTAAAATGCAGTACCACCTAGATCATAACATTTTACTTTCTGTTTAAAAACTCCAACAATTCATGTTAGAAATGTTTTCAAGGTTGTCACGTTGTTGGTGATAAAATGCTATTAAAGTCTCACGGTTTGTGAGAGATCACTTACTAATCTACCCATCTTATTAACCTTATTTTCCTCCCTGATCCTTAACACATTTCCAAGAAGTTTGGCAGTGTGTACTTAAGTCATTATACAATAGTATTTTCCCAATTTGGACATAAGAAAATGAGAGAAACTAGATATTAGTCTTGAACCAGATGATTTACTGCATTTATAGAATTCATTATTTTTATAGCATATTATTTTATACGCTACCTTTTAAATGGCAGGCGACAAACAGGAGAGCAGTTTTTTTTATACTTAGGAATGGAAATTTTGGCTTTAAGCAGCCTACTTCATTCAGAGCTTTTATGAGAGAAGTTGCTACTCCCTAAAGAAAGAAAACAGTTTTAGAAGACCATCACAGAAATCTAGAATGAAAATATATTCAAAGCCTGATCCTGCTGTCATGCAAACCTATCAACATCAGATGATACCCAATCTGGTGAATTGTAGAAGATAATAAATAATGTAAAATAGGGAGGGAAGTGACCATTAATAATTTCTGATTTCATATTCATGTCTCAGAATGTAGTCTGATGGACTTAGTTGTATTTTTTTCCATTAAAGCTACAAATACCTATTATTTCAAAGCTTTTAAAAATTCTTCTCAATTGTAAGTACACAGTTTAATATAATCCCATTAGTAAACATAAGACTCATATTGCATTAAAAATGAAATAAACTGGGTGGGATATACTATACGTTTTAATGTACAAAAGCAAAAACTGGCCTGTTCAAGGTATCCAGCCAAAGGAAGTGCAGTGAGTAGTATTGGCTCCTTTATTGGAGGGAGTTTATGTGGAAGCTTCAGATTCCAGTACTTCTCTGGTAACCTAAACAGAAAAACTAAGCACTTTTAAGAAGTATAAACCGTGACATGGTTAAAGATTAAAATGCAGTTAATATATTCACCTCATAAACTTCAGAAGTTTTTCTTCACTTTCAAAAATATATACCTTATTCTGATATTTTGCTGCATATTCGATGTTGCCAGGCACCAAAGCTTCATATCTGAAGAGGCAGAGCAAAAAAGACTATTCACAAGAAATGTAAAACATAATTTGTGCAGTATAAATTCATGAGCTCTTGGGAGCCTTCTAGTAATTTAGCAAGTATAGGAACTACAAAAAAGTCGCAGCTGGATCATCCAAGTTTCCACCACATGACTGACAGTTACAAGGTTCAAAATCTGAGAGTCTCTGCCTCAAAATCTGCTTATTAAAGGTCTTTTATAGTGCTGCTTCAGAGCTCCTCTAGTTAAAATACCAATCATGGTTGTTCAAGAGATTAAGAAGGGGCAGCATAAAATTGACTATTATGGTTCTACCTTGTTGAGAAATTCCTGCACACTGAGGAAATCAGTGGGACTTTATGGTGGATCTTTATGGATCTCTTACAAAAATCATAATAGCTAGTTTTGCATCTACTAAGATTTTGTGAGGTTTGTTTGAACTTTTGAAGGCTTATGATAGAGAAAACTCAAACTATACCCAAGCAGTCTTCATCACAAAAGACAGTAAGCTGATGCAGATCCTTGTAGAACTTGTGGCCATATGAGTTTCAAAAGGTGATTTTACATTGCTTTCCAAAGCTACAGGCACAGTATAGAGAGTTGTAATTGCTTTTCCTGTCCAAACCCTGAACACTATTAAATGTACTTTGAAAGTATTTCCTCATTGATGTGTTAATATAGGACACATAGTCTACAATTCCAATGATGAAAACTGCTGTGATGTACCTCTGTTTTCCATCTAGGTAAGTGACTGGGCAGTATCCCTGCATTTCAGCACTTATAGGGAATAAGGCCTTCACTTCTGCCGCAGTCAGCTTCTTTGGTAGCTTATCAGGGGGTGGGAGAGGGTGAGGTGCCAGTGGTGGCACATAAACCTCTGGTCTGCTCAAGAATTTCTGTAGAAAAAGAAATTAAATGTTTTTATAATGAAAGAAATGCTGTAAGACTGTTAGTCAAACTCCAGAGGACTGGTTCACGCAATTCAGATGCTTGTTTATTCCACAACACCTTAGTGTGCTGCGCTGCTGCTGCTCTTGGGTTAAGTCATTTCTTTTCCAACCCACTCTCAGCTGAAGTCATCACTATCTGCCCACCATCCATCACTGTCCATTGCTATCATTAGCCATGGACATTTACCCCCCCATCTCCCCAAAACAGACGGAGAAAGGAGGAAATGGTTGTTTTAAAATGCATGTTTGATCTATGACAATTTGGAAGAGGAGGTTTGGTTTGAATGGACGCTGCTGCATTTTGTCTGCCTAGGCATTTGATAGCAGAGGTATACAAAAAAAAGCTTGAATACTACTAACACTAGTCTAATTCAGATTACATTTGCTTGTTTCTGTATGGAATTAAAGAATTTAAGCAACAGTGTTCCCTCCTCCTGTAATCTCCTCCCAGCCTGCTTTTTGACACTTACATCCAGTTCTTCCTGTGAAGCCATTTTGTAATAGTGTCCTCGAAATTCTGCAGCAAACTGCAATGACGACGTTACAGAGCAGTCAACCAATTCACCCTTTTCTGCAAGGCTGACGGGACAGTACTGTCCAAATTCCCCCAGCCGATACCGCAGCTCTTCAGGAGTGACACATAAATCAGCAATGCCGGCTGCTTTTCCTGTTGACAGAAGCAATTAATGACAATGTTTTATTAATGAAAGGCATCAAAACATCAAACATTTCTATTCAGAAATGTTTCATTTTAGACATAATTGATCATGTCAAAATAATATGAAATAATGAGAATTAAAGTAGCAATTTTAATAGATTGATTTTAAAAAGAAGTTGCAATCCATTTTACCAATTAATTTTAATAAAGTTTTCCTAGCACTTAAGAAATATAATAATTATTAGTGATGTGGGATACTTTGCATGCTTGACTTATTAATCTGTTTTTCCTGGGACAGCTTTATTTATGATTTATTATTTTACTCCTTTGTGTTGCTAAGGAACATTTCAGCTATTATTTTATTTCTTTACATGGGTGAAAAAGAGTACAAGGTGTGATGAAAGCCTCTCATTTATTCATCCATGTCTTGCAAATGCTACAGTCTATCTGGATGAAATACATTCAAAATCTTTAATAAAATGTCATATAAACTCCAGGCTATTTAAAAGTTGTGCTTTTCAAGCTTGATGTGAAAAAGTTAAACATTTTTAAAATATTTTTTGTGTTATGGCTGCAACTTTTAAGAAGGGTGCAGCCACAGATCTGTAGAAGTTAAAACCAAAAGGTGAGTATAAAATAAGGAAGTCTGTTTTCCCTTCAGAGGAATTCTAGTTAAACTGTACAGGCATATTTAAAAGGCATATTTAATCCTGACCTATGCTGACATACAAAAATTCAAGTGGGAACTGTGCCATTTTAGACTAAAAGTAGTTTTCCTCTCACAGCACAGAAATTAACTCAGCATATTTAACCTTAATTCTGAACATCTGATTAACATTTTCCCTCTCCTTCCCTCTTCCTCCACTGACACTTAAGTGATGCTGCAAGTCATAGTTCCCCTTGTGTCCTTTGAGGTGCCCTTTGTGATTTATCACCCAATGCTGAGGAATCTGCCATGGACCATGAGACATCTGACTTCTTTCAGCTGTATTCTGTTACCCTGTTCTTTGGAGGATGGCCTCAGACTGTCCTGTAGGTGGTTTTGTCTTTGCTCTCTTCAAGAGACCTATTCAAGATCTCTGCAGATGAGAGCAAAGAATTCAAGGGTATGTATGTGCCCAAGAGTTAGCTTCATCCAAAGCAAGCTGAAGTTGAAATGTGCTCATTACATTGCAGCTTCTTAAAGAAACTAATATTTTTTTGAGAAACTTTATTTTTCTTTTACCTTCTTTTATTCTTTCCAGGTATATCTGGATTTCCTTAACAACCAGTTGAACTTCCTGCAGTACTTTCTTCCAGATCCACCACTTGCTCTGAAAGGCATCAATTACACACCAGTTCTGATGTTCCTTCTTATAGTAAGTCCTAATTGCATCAATGTGCTGTTTATAGCAGGAATTTTTAATAGCTAGAATCTGTGAGCTGTCATGTTCAGGGTAGGGAAGTCTGAAGACAATGAAAAATTTAAGTATGAAGGTTAGATCATTTCATTGAATTTCACGCGTAAATTCTAGAGTTAACTTTAAGTCCTTTTTACAAAATTGTGCTTATTTGACACTGTAGAACATATTTGAGAAATACAACTTCTTAAGAATATTACCAGTTACATATGAAAAGCAGCATACTTCTGATCAGACAGTTACATTCAGAAACAAAGAACAAAACTTTTGCTCTTTGTGTCCCAAATACAACTCAGTAATTTTGTAAAGGACTTGGACTGTATCAGCACATATTAACTGATGCACACTACCAATACACCATTAAATAGTACCCTAGACAAAATGCTATAAGACTTTTAAAGTCAATTGTTTATTGAAAAACAGGCATAACTTTGAATTATGCTGTTGTTTGAAATCAAGAAGTAGCCATAATCCTTGGATATATTTTGAAAACTGCCTGACATATCTACATGTGCATAAATGGAAATAATTTGTCTGACCTCTAAAAATATTATGCAAGACCAGAAGAGATATTTTTATTAAATCATAGAAGTATTTCCTGTTCTGGTTCTTAATTTAAATGACGCCAAAAAAAGGATAAACTTCTGTTTTAATAGGATTAATTTCTCTGTAAGTTGTACCTTTCAGAAATATCTGAAACTGCACATTTGATTTGTAATTAAGCCTATGAAATGCAATTAGTTTGGTATTTAAAATGAAAAGTTTAAAGTAATACTTTTAAAAAGACAGCATTAATTTAATTTCTGGCAATGCAGATTGTCTTTAGGCTCTCAGTAAACAATTAAGCATTGTACTGATTACTTGATAAAAAGAAAGAGGCAAAATGAGAGAGACATGCAATAAGCTGTCTGGGACTTCTTAGAAACACTTCCTCTAATGAGAACCAGGTTCTTATACAATTTAATTTTAAGGTGAATGTTCTGTTCTTTTTAATTCTCTGTCCGTTTATAAACTACTTACTGCTTTTCCTCAAAAAAACCCAACAGCTCTTTAAATAGAATATTTATCTCCTTAGAAAAACAAAGAAGGAGGGAGCAATCTGAACTGAAAGGTTCAGATGAGTAACTCATGAATTGTATATGTTATTAAAATATACATTGTTTCAATTTTTTTAAAAGAACTCCAATTGAGACTTAAAAGAGAGCTTATAAGATGAAGTATCAAGTTCTCTTATGATGATAATAATTGATGAATGATAAACTTCAGGAGCAGAGTGAACTAGTAACATTTCTGATGTATAGTTTATCATTAAAGCCAATCAAACTAAGCAGTGGGTGCACAGCATTGCACATCAGTGACCTGAGTCATGCAACTGGGGGATCTGGCCAGAGCATGTCACAAATTCCTCTGCCCTCTTGTGTCTCCATTTCTCGTCTGTGGAAATCAAAGCATTAGAATGTAGAGGGACTGATATCCATATCTTTTCATATGTGGCGTTCGGACACCGAACGAGACAGCTGGGTTATGCATCAGCTTAGATATAGCCTCTCTGGGTACAGCACTGAGGCACATAAATAGAGAAATGACAGTATCATGTGGATGAAAATACTGCTATCAGGGAGCATCACTACCTGCTCGTGCTTTCCTTATCCAGCAGTGCTCTTCTGAACACTTCCTTTGCATCCATATCTAATTCAAAAATTTTCACTGGAATTATTCTAGCTGATTCTAAGAGGTTTACTTGCTTTCTTGTTACAGGATATCCATCAATTACAACCCTGCATACAAACAGAAGCAGAAAGACAGTTTCCCTCAGAAGTCAGTTTCTAATTAGCCATTAAGACTACGTATATTCCTAGTACATTCTCAATAGAGACAGAAGTCTACACCCATGCCATGAAGTTATTGCTGCCCTGACTTGATAGACATAGTCTTCACTCCTAAGAATTTGTAATCAAACAAACAAACAAACAAGAAGTAGATAGAATAAGAAATGTAAAGAGTAAAGGAAATACACAAAGGGCAAAAGGCATAGGAATGTAAGTGGATGGCTCTGACTTACGAAAATGGTGGACTTCAAAATTCTGACACGTCAGTCATTCAGAAACCTAATTTTAAATATGGGAAATCTCCATATGGATTGGGAGGAGTAGTTTTCAAAGTGAAGAGTAAAATGATTTATAGTACTTGATGAGTTTTTTAAATCATATTGAAGGAGAAATGCTTTTCACATATTAGGCAATACTGGGCCAAAATATACTGAAACAATATTCCAGTATCTAGCATGAAAGAAAAGTTGAAAGAATTCTGATCTCAAGCTCAAATAATTTTCAGAGATTATTCCAGAGTTGCCTTTCCTTGTAACAAGTCTCCTTTTTGGGGAGAGGAGTTGAATGTCATGAAATCACTATCATGAAGCATTTTAAGTCTGCCCAGTTTGGTAGGTGTTTCAATTTTGAAGAAAGAGCCTAGGAAATCAGAATCACATATGAATGAGGTGGAAAGACTCATTGGTTTCAGTTCTTCTTTAATAACTTCTGTTGTTAACAAAACTGCAAAAAACCTTGAGTACTGAACCAGTCCCATGACCAAAGAGAATCAGATGCATCCAAGTTGGTACTGGAGTTGGTATGAGAGAGATAAAATGGTGGTTCTCAAAGGATAATAGAAAATACTGGCTTATTGACTGAAAAAATGTAACTTTCATAAAGCATATTACTTGGACTTACAGGAATATACTGACTGGAAAATTGCAGAAAATTATTCTTCAGTCTCGTTTCCCAGAGTAATGTGAAGAGCCTCATTTTGTACAGATTATTTTCTTAATGCATAAACCACTGATGTGTTTTAGTGAAATTGTTTTACAGTGATAATATGGGAATCACTGCCTATGAAGGCACTGGCATGTCTTGAAAAAAACTCTAAAACCCAAGCAAGACTCTTACCCGGTGGTATTACACACGTGATTCATCAGAGCCACATCTAGAGCCTGGATGGCAAGTTCATCAGGTACGGTCAGTCCTTTGTGAAGATGCCACTTCAGCATAAGTGCCAACTCGCTCTCTGGCTGACTGTCTAACACTAGCCGTATGGCATCTCCCATACTCAGGCGCAGTAACCCATATACACTTGCAAATTTCTTGGCAACTGCAAAACATTTTGATTTCAAGACACAACTTTTACATAAGCAACATCACAACCTAGCAGTCTGTTAACGTATGTCCTTAGACTTAGAAGCCAACCGCTCAGCTCATTTCCTGGGTCATTTCCAATGCATATAATGTCAGTAAGTGGGTAGCTAACCCTGCTTAGGCCTCTGAAGGGCCCAAGCCTTTGCATATGTGCAGAGGTTGCCCAGTGCACTAACAGCATTCAGTTCAGCACAAATCTCAGCAGCAATAGTCAATATTATTACAAAATTTCTTAGAAAATATGCTTCCATTGCCTCCCCTTTACTGAACAGCTGGATCATTTATCTTGGAAATGGCAAATATGGTTAAAATTTCCGCCTTCATATGAGATATTTTGAACCTGTCTCTCCTTTTGCTAACACCCTATTCTAATCATTAAGCTATGGAGTAAGCTCAGTTTCATCCTCCTCCAGTTAAAGGCAGACCTGTGGATTGAAAGAGTCATGGAGGAAGAATGAGATGGAGAAAGACAGAAATCTTGGTTTTTTTAATCTAGAAGTTTGGAAACAGACTGGGGAATGTGGAGTTTTGGGTTCTATGGGTTCTAGTCCTTGATCCTAAGAATATTTCTTCATTTTGCATTAGCTCATATTGACTGAAAGAAATAAGAAACAATTAGAAAGCAATCAGAAATAATACAAGGGGAATAAATAGTCTAAGTCCAGATTTTCTACGTGCCACTCCAGGTCATTAACTTCTTAAGAAACTGGAGTAAAATTCAGATGGACAATGCATAAGTATCTACCTGTAAAATGAGACACTAGAGAATGAACTAAAGGATTCTATGCCCAGCAAGAAAAGCAGGAAGACCAACAGTATTAATAGTTTATGATTTTCTAACAGCAGTAATGACAGATACAGCTTCAGTCATTAGACAAGGCTTTGCTTTATACATAATACTGGCACCTACCTGTAGTCTTTCCAGATTTTGGAGGTCCCACGATTGCAATCTTAACTGGCACAGCTGGTTTAGGTTTTGGCTGACGAATATATTTGATCGGATTTTTCATAAATGTTTCTTTATTTTCTTTACTTGAAAAGAAATAAATATATTGTCGATGGATTACAGGAAAGACTGTGTTTTCATTGCTTTGTTGTGGCTTGATTACATCTCCTTCACTTAGCTGTAGCATATATAAAATGGAAAGCAGTTGATTAGGTTTGACAAAGCCTTCCCTCCCTCCATCCTACAGAAGAGGCTTTATAGACAGGTAGAGTCGTCCCAACGGTGTGAAACAAACCATCAAAGCATTCTAAAGTTTGTACATATGGACATAATGTTTTGTCCGAGTCTAAGGAACTTCCATACATACGCAATTTTTGTACAAAAAGATGAAGTAAACATTGAAGAGAGAAAGAATATTCACTGTTTCCAGTAGGTGGTACTGTAACACTTTCTGTCCATCAAGAGAGTGTAGTTAGAGAGGTATAACATAATACTTTTTTAAATTTTCAAAGAAAATAATTTTATTCCTCTGTGAATTAAAACCACTTATCTGCCTGACAGTAGAAGTTATACTGAGAATATTGTATTCAGCAGCAGTCATGTACAAATGAAGAAAGCAGAAAAGAATATAATCTCATTAATCATCTCATTGTGGTGAAGTTTAAAACCACAACAAGGCAAACCAAAAAAGCTTTTGGTAAAATACATACGCTGCTGATGAAATCTTTTCAAACACATCAGACAGACCACTAGAAAGTCTGTAGTGTTGATGAACTGACATGTAAGAGGAGCACTAATGGCAGAACGAGTCATTGCAGAAATGCTAAATGAATTCCTTGCACCACTGTTCACTATGTAAGAATGTAGTCATGTCCCTGTTGCAGCCCTTCTTGGAAGACCTGCTTTAAAGTGTCAATAAAAGATGTTTTAGAACAAACTGTTGACATCTGTAAAAAAAATTACCCAGATGGCATTCACCTTACAGTTCTAAAGGGACTTGGAAGGGAAATTGTTACTGAATAATGTGTAACCTATTTCTTACATTGGCCTTCCTTCCACAAAAAAGGAAGGAGGAGAAAGTGACCATTTTTTGAAAAGGCCTCGAGGATGGATACTGGCAAACATAGTCCAGTAAATCTGAACCTGTATTGAGCAAATTTAAGTAAATTAAGGAAAAAACGAGTAGTTACAGGCATATATATAAAATAATGGGGAAGAGCAACTCAGCTTCTCGTAGAGTTAAATCATACCTTGCAAATTTATTAGTATTCTTTGAAGGACTCAGTAAATATATAGATAAGTTGATCTGACTGTTAAAGAGATGAGACTGTCCTGCTGTGCGGCATTTCCTTGCCAGACTCTTCTCTGATTCTCAGGTTCCTATTTCTGCATCAAATCATTTCAGGGTGTTTGCCCTCAATTTATGAGATGTCAGGAGTCTGTTCTACTCTACATCTGGCTCCCATTCCTCCCTCAGTTCATCATTTTTATTCTCTACTTATCTAACTCCCTCCCCTCCAAATTTAATGTAAAAGTAATTGGCATATACTCTATCTGCCTTTCTACAAAAACCCCTCCAGTCCTTAATCAATTTCATCATTTCTGTTATATTTTAAAATACTCTCAAAATGATCCTATTTCCCTTTCATTATTGTCTGCATGTACATTTCCACTGTCAGCACACCACTCTGATTTTATCTAATAGCTTTCTATGACTTCTTTCTTCTAAATGAATTGTACTTTTTGGTTGGCAAAAAAACACTATACAGCAGAAATGAATGAATTGGAGAAATGGAATGACAAAAATTTAATGAAATCTAATAGAACAAAGTGCAAGGTCTAGCATGTAGGGACTAATAAGAATTTCTCGTATAAGCTGGGGTGCAGTAATTGGAAATGGCAAAAGAGAAGAAATATCTACTTTTATTAATACGTCCCCAGATTATTAAGATGCCAATTTGATGCAGCCATGGAAAAGGCAATTCTGATCCTAAAACATTTTAAGTAAGTATTTTGATTATATAAAGCCATAATAAGAGCTGATCTGTATACAATTCTGATTGCCAAAGTTAGAGAAAGATAAATGTGATCTGGAACAGGTGAAGACCCAACATGATGACTATACAAAAGGGAATAAAAGTTATTTGATTAATTAGCATAGTAAAATAAAGGCCAAAGTATGTTTCCTTTAGGAAGTTCCCGTTTTCTGTGTCCACTGGGGTTTTTTTAATCAATCCTCCTTGTTATTTCTGATTTACTCACAACCCAACCTGCTTTTATTTCTAGCATTAAACCAAAAAATTTACCTGCTAACATTTCACTTGCTACCTATAAAACTGTATCACCCCGCTTTTGGGGGTAGACATGAGTACTTTCTGACTTTGACTTTCCAGATCTCTAGTATGGAATTAGATTTGTTGCTTTTCAAAATTTCTAAATTTTGACAACAAAGAATTATTGCTGATGAATTGCATACACTTAACATCTGTTGGTTTACTTTTTTGTCACTTCTAGGGTTGGTGGCCACCTGTGTGGCTTCTTAGAAATTCAAACCCCAAATCCTTTCAGTTTGTTTTCATTGCTTCTGGAAGGCTTTAAGACCTTCTCTGTTATCCTGTGTTTTGTGGGTCATTAAGAATTAGGCATTTCTTTCTGATTTGATGCCACTTTTAATTCTATTGTTAATGCTAATGCAACAGATTTTACTAAATGCCTCTCAGGCTTAATTTAGCTGCAACACTGAAAAGACTAACACCTTTTATTATCAATGCTTGCTGTATTTTGTGCATATCCAGTGGTGCAGTTTTGATTTAGTAATGTAATTTTCATTAAATATTTCTGGTATTAGTAGCTACTGTCTGATAATACTTTTTATGTGAAATATATTTTTAAAAAGTATTACTTCTTGAAAATATTCTTCAGCTATTTAAGAACATTACCTTGATTGGATCCCACTGACCAAAAGAACTTGGAAATTTATATGAGAAAACTAGCATCTTATGTGCAAGTGGCAAACTTATTGGGTAACATTTCTCAAAAATGCTTCCACGATTTTCCACTAGAGAATTCAGCTTGCTATATATTTCATAGCATACGATGTGGGGCTTCTGTCCTCCATTGATCTTGATTTGTGGTATTAACAATTTTTCAAGTTCTTCCTGGTTACGAAAACATAATGAAATATTAGAATGATAATCGCAATCAGATTTTTAACAATGACTGACAGCGAGATTTTCTGTGAACTATCAAGCATTTCTTGAGCATGTTCGCAGTCACCGTAAATCAGCAGAATTTGGTTTGATATGAGAATTGGTCTTTCTGCCCATTGAAGTTTAAATTACCCAGCCTATATTAAGTATCACACTATTAAAAAAAAAAAAAAAAAGACAACATGACAGTTAACTTTGAGGAGTCTGCTATCATAAAGCTAAAGCTTAAGAAGTATCTTTTATTAAAAAGATAATAAAATATCATTCTTTCCCT